TCATCTCCAGCAGCCAGAGGCGGAATCTATAAGTATTGGGGGTGGTGGGGGTCCTCGGATAACGCCGACCCAAAAGCTGCAGGGTCCGGAATGCCATGCAAGGAGAGGCGCGACCCAAAGGGTTCATGCCCCACTTCTCCCCAGTTGCCCAGAGGCGGGAGACCCATTTCAGCACCGGGCAACGATGGACAGCTCCCCGACTCGGACGGGGGGGGGGGGTTGAATTTTATTTCCTGCCCTCAAATTGGCCGGTTTTTATATTTCATGCTCAATTCTTCCCGAGTTCATTCAGGGGGGGTGGGGGGGTGGGGGGAAACAGGCCCAAAGGTTGCGTTTTGACCCAAAACTGGATGCAGGACTCGATCCCCAGATCAAATGCTAGCTTGCTTCTTCCCCGGGATAAATTACTTATTAGATTATTATTTTTTTTATCCTGCCTTTTGTTACTTTTAGAGCAGCGGTTCTCAACCTGTGGGTCTCGACCCCATTTGGGGTCGTATCGACCACTTCACGGGGGTCGCCAAGCAAGGCTGTCCGCCATTTTTTTTGTCCGCCATATTTTTCCCCCTTTTCCGGCGGGTGCCTTACCTCCCTTGGGCTGGGCCAGCTGGTGGTCGGCCTGCTCCATCTCTGCCGCTTGCCAGGTACGCCTCGGCCGGCGCAGGGGGCGGAACCACGCATGCGCGGCGCTCCCGGGCAGGGAAAGTCCTCGACTTACGACCGGTTGGGTAGTCCTCGACTTACGACCAGTTTAGTCCTCGACTTACGACCAGTTTAGTCCTCGACTTACAACCGGTTGGGGGTCGCGGCATTAAAAAGGTTGAGAACCACTGTTTTAGAGGTAACTCAAGGCAGCGGACGTTCCTCATACGAGCGGTCCCCATCTTTACGGCCGCTGACGGAGCCCCACATCGGTCGTAAAATGAGACCTTTGTTAAGGGTGCTTCGCCCTGTTTTTACAATCTTTCTCCTCGCGATTGTTAAGGGAATCACCGCAGCTGCGAAGTTAGTAACACGGCTAAGCGGATCTGGCTTCTTCCCCATTGATCCCGGGACGCTGCGACTGTCGTAAACAGGAGTTCAGTTGCCAAGCGTCCGGCTTTTGATCACGTGGCCATGGGGGAAGGCCGCAACGGTTGTAAGTGTGAAAGAGTCGTAAGTCACTTTTTTTCTGTGCCGTTGCAACTGCGAACGGTCACTAAATGATCTGTTGTAAGTCGAGGGCTACCTGTACTCCTTTCTCCTCCTATTATCCCCACACCAGCAACCCAGCCTGAGGTGAGCTGAGAAAAAGGGATCTTGAGTTGATATAATTAGAAATGTACTAGCCTGAATACGAGATAGTAAATGTTAAAAGAGAAAAAGAGAAGGAATATCTGTTGTTGTAACCTGAGATTTGCACTAAAGATTTTGTTACGGAATTATTGATTAACCCAGTCACCGTGTTGCTTTTTAAATACTCAAATGTAAAATTGGAAAAGTAATAAAATATTATATATATAAAAAAAGGGATCTCGCCACCACCACCACCCCAAACATTTTTAAAATGGGGATTGTGTGCGGATACGTTCCTTCCAGATGGGTCTGAAATTCCGGAGTTCCTAGCTATGCTCCATAATGGCTAGAAATTCTCCAAATTGGCCCCAGATATTTGGGAGACCGTAACATGGAGAATTCTTGTCTTGGGCAAGGGAGAGATCATGAATCTCTTGGAAGTCCGTCAAGAGCAGGAAACCGCGTTCCCTTAGAAGGGAAGCACGATCCTCAATATAGGACATGCTCGATGTGTGACTGCAATTAAGCCTGGAAATTTTATATGCCATGCTGGTCGTTAAGTGGGTCACTTGACCACGGCCAATTTTGTGACTCTGGCAGGGCTTAAGGTGGGGTAAGGTGGGGTTTGCCAAAGTGATCCATTATACCAGGGGTGTCAAGCTCAATTTCATTGAGGGCTGCATCAGCATTGGGGTTGCCCTCGGGTGTATGTGTGTGTGTGTGTGTCCAAGGTGTGTGCGGCCTACTGGGTGGGCATGGCCAGCTCTACATCGTTCGCGTCAAGGGTGCCTGTGGGGGCCTGGGCAGGAGTGGGACAGATCTGAGGGTCTCTGGCAGAAGGGGGTGGGACCGGGGCAAGCGCCAAGGCATGGTCCATTTCTTCATTCCTCACAAAGGGTGACACCTCCCCAGCATGCACCCAGGGGACGGGGCCGACGGGGCAGGGGCTGGTTCCTCGCTGTTTCCAGACGGCCTCGTGGAGCTAAGACTGAATGCCTTTCAGCATAGATGGCCACCACAAAATTGTGCATTGGCTCCCGGCCGGCCTGGGCCAGGACCAAGGCAGAGGGGGCCGTTCCCTCACTGTTTCCAGGATGGCTTCGCGGGCCACATTCAACCACTTTACGGGCTGCATCCGGGCCCCGGGGCCTTGTGTTTGACATGTCTGCCTTATACCCAGAAAGTGCAGGAGCCTGCAAATGGCGGTCCATGCAAGCTGGCTGCCAGGCGCCCAAAATGCGGTGTGGCTGCAGGGGTGCGCACCCGTGTGCGCAGCTGTTAGAATTTCAAAACAGGGTTGTTAAGCCTCTTACGGGGAGGGGAAAGGAAGGTTCGCCGCAACTTCAAATGGTTGTTAAGCGAGGACTGCCGCTGAACGGCTTTCCCTGCTTCTGATTAAATGTCTTAAGCCGAGGGAGAATCCATCGCCTCTTGAGGCAGGCAGATCCCTTCCCGAAGCAACTCAAAACGCTTTCTCCATTATTTACCTAGCTAGTCCCCTCGATCTGCAATCTCCATTCTCGGCTTTTCCGGCGGCCTTGATCCCCTCCTCCATTTTTTTTCTGCATGAACAGCTGTTCAGCACCGGCAGACTATCCTCGCAGATCCCTTAATCTCTTTAACCAAGATCCACACGCCTGGTTGGTCTCTTTCGAGGGTTCCTAAGAAGGACCGGTTCTCTAGACTCCCTAGCCCTCTTGAGGGTGGAGGAAGGGGGAGACCCTGACCCTTGCGCCATGCGGCTTGAAGAAGCCGGTCGGGATACAGATCAGCAGAACCTGGCTCCAGCCCTCGTCAAATTTGATTCCTGGATGTCAACAGTCTGAGGCACTCGTGCACACACACACAAGCACACACACATATATACGCCTCCGTCCCCATGAGCCACTCTGTTGTGACTTATGCAATGCAAGGAACTCTTGACTCCACCCTCCTTCGCAGTCGTCAAGTGATTTCCCTCGCCTTAGGCCCAGGCGTCTGAACGGCACACACTTCCTACAGGTACACACCTTGTGTGTACCAGGGAGATGCCGTGCGGCTTCCTGACCTGAGGGCATGGCTCCAGTGTCTCCCCCCCCCTTCCCAGCAGGCTTAAGAAACCACAAACCCCTTCCTAATTACAATGCTGCACACTTCATCCATCCTCTTTCTCCCAAGCCATCTGTTCTAATTTGCCAGCAAATTCTGAGAGAGAGACAGCTTTATCGCCATGAGGAGGAGGAGGAGGAGGAAGAAGAAGAAGAAGAGGAGGAGGAGGGGGGGAAGAGGAGGACTGTGGTGTCCTTGCTGTTCTCTGGGCTTGTTTTCTTGCCGATGTTTCATGAGCCAACTAGGTAACAACATCAGTGTTAGAATAGAGTGGGGTTTGTGGAGAGGAGGAGGAGGAGGAGGAGGAGGAGGAGGAGGAGGAGGAGGAAAGCCAGAATCTGGAGATGTTGGTATGGGGAAGAGCAATGGCATCCCACAGCCTTCCCCATTAGCACCAAACACCATCTAAACGTACAAGGCAGAGTGCTCAATTGACAGACGCTTGTAGCCTCGGCGTTGAAGGAGGCCGTTGACTCGCAAGCCCATGGGGCTGCCTCTTCCTTCCAAAGGGTCAAAGATAGAAGTACCTCAGCTGTTGCTGCTCCTGGCCCAGGGCTGAAAGAAGAGGCTCCTTCCTTTATTAAAAACTCTTGCCTGGACAAAAGCCCGGATAACAGAAAAGCAGAGTTGGAAGGGACCTTGGAGGTCTTCTAGTCCAACCCCCTGCTCAAGCAGGAGACCGTGTAACATTTCAGACAAACGCCTGTCCAGTCTCTTCTTAAAAACCTGCAGCGAGGGAGCACCCACCACTTCTGGAGGCGGGCTGTTCCACGGATGAATTGCTCTCACTTTCAGGAATTTCCACCTCAGTTCTAGCTCCATTCAAAACATCCGACGCTCCCAAGTAGCTGCCAAGCAAGAACTGAGTTCGAGTCACTGCTAAGGGTAGAACGCATACATCTTGTGAGCTGATACGGCGTCCAATGGCTTTCTGCTGGATTCTTTCCTTTTCCAGAGTTATCGGTTTAGGAGGGGACAAATTGGGGAGGGGGGAGGCCAGAAGGGGGTAAGGAAGAAGTGATTCTGTGGGGCAAATATCTCAGACTTCGGATGACAGCAAAAAGGGGACTCGGGGCAGCCAAAGGCCTGGAGCGATGTGCTTCCTTGCCTCTTATTATCACCCTTTGATACTTTCCTTCCGTTCTGTTGGAAGATTAAGGGGCCCTGGCCCTCAGAAGCCGTGGGGAACTGCCAGATGGACAGAAAGGACACTGAGTTCTAGTAACTTAGGAGCCGTATCCGTCTTGCCGTTCCAGATATCTGTCCTGACAGAGAGCAGACCCCACTCATCCTGTCATTTTTTCATTTTATGTTTATGATGGGCGCCATCATTCGGGGTAGCCACCCCGCCTTGGAGGCACAGAAAAAAAAAAAGTTACTAAACTTCGCTGGCCACGGAGCACTTCCTGTGTTTGAGGCACGTCCCTTTTCCGGTCGGCTGCCGTTTATGCCAGGGAAGTGACACGGGAAGGGACCGGTGTTCCCCTTGCCCTTCCCAGCCGCTTATTTAAATGTCCACGCTGCTTCTGGGACCCTGCAGAAGGCCGGGAGAATCTTTGGGATGAGATTCGGCTCCCGATTCCATTTCTTCATTTCTTGGGGATGAAAAGAGCAGGCGAGACGGCCCAGCCAGCACCTCACGCTCCGGGTCCTTGGCCCTCCGTATCCTCAACCCTGGAATCTGGGTCCTGCACGGACACATTCAGATGGGATGCCCGGCTTGTTGCTTCCAACCGGAGGCGCTGTAGAAGACACTGGAGGACGTCCGTCAGGCTGTGCTGTACGGAGGAGGAGAAGCAGTTAAAGGAAAGGAAAAGCGAAAACGGACTAGAACAGGGGTCCCCAACCTCCTGTGGGCCGTGGCCTATTGGCCACCGGGCCGCGTGAATGGCTGGCCAGGGAACGTGTATGCACTCATCCCCCCCTCGCTAGCGTCGCCGTGAGCGTCGCACGGCGCTCACATCACGTAAATCAGGGGTGTCAAATGCAATTTCATTGAGGGCTGCATCAGCATTGCAGTTGCCCTCGGGGGTGTGTGGCCAGGGTGGGTGTGGCCTACTGGGTGGGCGTGGCCAGCTCTACATCGTTTGCGTCAAGGGTGCCTGTGGGGGCCTGGGCAGGAGTGGGACAGATCTGAGGGTCTCTGGCAGAAAGGGGTGAGACCGGGGCAAGCGCCAAGGCATGGTCCATTTCTTCCTTCCTCACAAAGGGTGACACCTCCCCAGCATGCACCCAGGGGACGGGGCCAATATGGCAGGGGCTGGTTCCTCGCTGTTTCCGGACGGCCTTGTGGAGCTAAGACTGAATGCCTTTCAGCATAGATGGCCATCACAAAATTGTACATTGGCTTCCGGCCGGCCTGGGCCAAGGCCAAGGCAGCGGGGGCCGTTCCCTCACTGCCCCCGGGCCTTGTGTTTGACATGTCTGACGTAAATGCTAGCGTTGCCGCGAGGGTTGTGTGGGCACTCACATCGCGTAAACGCTAGCATCGCCACGAGCGCCACTTGCATAAATGCTAGCGTTGCTGCATCGCGTAAACGCTAGCGGCGGCGTGCGCTCACGGCTCCGTTTGTGGTGTGCACATGCGTGCATAAAGGCGCCCGCCTCTCTCTTTCCTTCCCCAGAAAGGCCGAGGAACTCTGGACTAGACAATTTGCAGGATAGATATTTGTAACTTGAAAAACGAATGTTCTGGTAAATATTGGTTCTGCCTACTGGGTGGGCTTTGCGGAAGGTGCTTCTCTTACCCCCTCCCCGCCTTCTCCTTGCACACAAACCTGGAGCACGTGCAACCCCTTCAGACACACCACGGCCAGTTCACAGAGGCCATCGCAGGTCAGGTCTACGTAGTCCATGGATAACAAAGGGCTGGGGAAGCTGCGCTGCCAGAGCAGATGGAAATCTCCAGAAGGCGGTTGGAAACAGCGGCGTCTCGCTGTGCTCGCCACCCCCGTGTTTTCAGCCCGATATTTGTAGCATAAGAGCTCCTAGAAGACCAAGGGGGTTGCGTAATGAAACGGAAAATAAAACCAGCAGAGATCTCTAGACTCTCAGTACTCTTATAAACCAAGTTTCTATCCCTCATGGTGGTGGAAGAGAAAAAGGACACATTTTCAGCCATTGGCATCTGATCCCAAGACAGAGACCTTTGTAGCATAAGAGCGCCTAGAAGACCAAGGGGGTTTGCGTAATGCTGCTAAGCAGGAAAGGAAAAATAAAACCGACATAGATCTCTAGAACCTCAGCACTCTTAAAAACCAAGTTTCTATCCCTCATGGTTGTGGAAGCGAAAAGTTGCTGGCATCTGATCTTCTCAAGTCAAGGAATCATGGCAACCAGTAGACCGGACTTCCTTCTAAATCGCAGTTTCTCAATCTTAGCCGTGCGCAAGTTTCTACGTCTTTGAAAGCTATAGACCACAATACAGGTAATCCTTGACTTACGACCACCATTAAATCCAAAATTTCTGTTGCTAAGCGAGACAGCTGTTGTGAGTTTTGCCCCGTTTTAACCTTTCTTGCCACCGTTAAGCGAGTCACCGGGGAACAATTCAATCGTTGCCCCACCAATTCACCGGAGGTGTAACTAAGACGAATTAGTCTTCTAGCGTTTTCCCCCAGTGTACTGAGACCCTGTGACGTCGGCAGTATTTATGCTCAGTCAACGGTTCGTAGACTGGAGTCCGGGAACACTACCAACGGGAGAGGGCCCCAGTACACTGGTGCACTGGCTCCCCTACATGCGAGGGTCGCCAAGCGTGAAAAACGGTCATCACTCACTTTTCTTGTGAACTCTCAAACTTCCTTCTTCCGTTATATATTCAAGATGGACAGTATTTAATATTTATTTGTTATGTATATGTAAGGGTGTGGGTCTGTACATATGTTGTACATAGTATGTTTAGGTGTGTGTCATGTATGTGTTTCACTTTGAGGGCGGGCAACTAAATTTCATTTTTGATGTGTGCCCACAGTAAAAAAATGACAGTTTTCTTATCTTATCTTATCTTCGTGATGTTGTAACTTTGAACGGTCGCTAAACAAACGGTTGTAAGTTGAGGACTGCCTGTATTTGAAAGGCTGAATTGCTAGCTATAACAAACTTCAATCCATTGACGTTTTTCCCCCCCAAAAAACCCCTCCAATTATCTATGAAAATGCTTTTTGCTGTAATTTAACTGGGAAAAAATCCCGACAGCCACACCTTGTCTGCGAGGAGAGGTGTGGCCAACCTCTTACCTGCCCGTAGGTGCCCAGAAGGATCTCAGGTTCACTATCAAAGTCAACATCGGTCACCAGGGCGCAGAGCACGCTGTCGTACTGGTCGCTCAGGGGCAGGACCGACTGGTCCTCCAGACCACTGTGCAGCACGTTCCTAGAAGGGACAAGAAAAATGAGCTCTTTAAGTAAGCAGAGGGGACGGGTGGTTGAGAGAGATATCCCACTTTGCTTTCTTTTTTTTATTATTAAAAGTTTTAAATAATTTTCCATACAATATCCCACTTCCCTCCCACCCCTCCCCCCCTTCACTTCCCAGAGCTGGTTACAGGGTTATAAAAACAGAATCATAAATTAAATAACATTACCCAGATATACTACAATCAAGTCTCATCCACACCTACTTTAACTCTACAAAATAGATGGATCTTAACACTTTACCAGCAAAATAAAAATATAATTAAACATTATTACTAAAAATAACATAAATTCATCCATAATAAACTGTTAATAATATTCTAAAATTTACTCGTAAGCTAAGTAATACTTTTCAATCTCATATTTTTTTCTGAATATAATCAATCCATCTTCTCCCCACTTTGCTTTCTTTACTCACCGGTAGACCACCGAGAGTTCGAGAGTGCTGGTGACGAGGACGCTGTAGCTTGGAGGGTTGGGATCGGTGCTACCTGGGGGAGCTGCAAAGGATCACAAAGCAGAGAAGTTGGGTTGAGTTAACGGTGCTTGTCAGCCTGAGCAACTTGAAGAGGGGTGGACTTCAACTCCCAGAATTCC